CAACTCATCAATGGATGCAAGAGGAGGTCAATTCTATAGCACATCTATGGAAGAAGGTAGGAACATATCACAGAGCTTCCCAAGCCAATGGCATCTCTTTACCAACTCCCCCCATCACTGGCAGGTGGCTGTTCCTTAGGCAGGTCAGTTCACATCTTTAAGCAGCTTTTTCTTTTTTTGATGGTACTGGGGTTTGAACTCAAGACCTCATACTTGCAAGGCGGGCACTCTACCACTTGACCTACTCCACCACCCCACCAGTGGCCTTTTTAAGCAAAGGGACTAAGCACATTTTGCCCCTTGGGCCAGTACTTCACTTACAGTGAGGCCTACCAGTATTTGAGACAACTACAGGAATGTAACAGTACAAGCCACAACATTTTAGTATTGGTTGTTTTTTGTTTTGTTTGGCTGGAGTAGCTCTTTTTATTTTTATTTTTTTCATTTTTCTTTTATTATTCATATGTGCATACAAGGCTGGTTCATTCTCCCCCCCCTGCCCCACCCCTCCCTTACCACCCAACCCACCCCTCCTCTCCCCCCTTCCCTCAATACCAGCAGAAACTATTTTTGCCACTTATCTCTAATTTTGTTGTACCAGAGAGTATAAGCAATAATAGGAAGGGAACAGGGTTTTTTGCTGGTTGAGATAAGGATAGCCTATGGCAGGGCATTGTACATCACATTGATTTCCTGTGCCATTGGGTGTTACCTCTAAGGTTAATTCTTTTTGATCTAACCTTTATTCTCTAGTACCTGTTCACCCTTTTCTATTGGCCTCAGTTGCTTTAAGGTATCTTGCTTTAGTTTCTCGCTGCTGCGTTAAGAGAGCAACAAAATGCTGCTATGTTTTTTTAGGTTGTCCTTACCTATCGCTCACCCTTCCTTGTGTTGCTCTCGTTTTATCATGTGCTCATAGTCCAGTCCCCTTGTTGTGTTTGCCTTGATCTATGTACCACATATGGAGGGAGAACATACGATTTTTGGCTTTTGGGCCAGGCCTAACTCACTCAGAAATGATGTTCTCCAATTCCATCCATTTACCAGCAAATATAAATTTTGTATTCTTCATGGCTGCATAAAATTCCATGGTGTATAAGATACCAAATTTTCTTAATCGCATTCGTCAGTGCTGGGACATCTTGCTGTTTGCCATAATGGCTATTGTGAATAGTGCCGCAAAAACATGGATGTGGCAGGTGCCTCTGGAGTAATGCGTCTTGGGGTATATCCCCAAGAGTGGTATTGCGATCAAATGGTAGATCGATGTCCAGCTTTTTAAAGTAGCGCTCCAAATTTTTCCAAGAGTGGTTTGTAAGCTAGTCTACATTCCCACCACAGTGTAAGAGGGTTCCTTTTTCCGCCGCATCCTCTAGCCAACAACCTGTTGTTGGTGGTGTTGCGATGATGGCTATTCTTAACGGGGAGGTGGAATCTAGCGTGGTTTTAATTTGCATTTTCCTTTATGGGCTAGAGATGTGAGCATTTTTTCAAATGTGTTTTTTGGCCATTTTGAATTATTCTTCTTTTGAGAAAGTTTTTCTGTTTAGTTCACCCGTGCATTTCTTTAATTGGTTCATTAGTTTTGGGAGATTTAGAATTTTTAAGTTCCTTCCCCTATATATTCCTGGTTATCAAGTCCTTTGGTTGATGTGTAGCTGGCAAATTTTTCTCTCAGCCACTCTGTGGGTGTATCTCTTCAGTTTAGAGAATTTCTTTTGATGAACAAGAAGCTTTTTAGTTTTATGAGGTCCACATTATATTCTATCTATCTCATTAGTTGCATGTGCTGGCTGAGGAGGTTATCGTTGGGAAAAGTTCCTTACGCTATACCTACTAATCCAGAGTTAATTCCTCACTCTTTCCTGTATCAACTTAAGAGTTTGGGGTCTGATATTAAGATCCTTGATCCATTTTGAGTTAATCTTGGTATAGGGTGATATACATGGATCTAGTTTCAGTTTTTTGCAGACTGTGGAGTAGCTCTTTTTAAAAATTTATTTCTTATCTACTTCATCTGGATTTTTCTAAGTCATTTATATACTACTGTCCCCAATTTAATGTCCTTTTATATTTTTTAAAAGTTTTTAAGGTTATTTTATGCATTTTTGTTTGGGATTAATATGCTCCCCCCCTCTTCTTTTCCTTAAGTTTTGATTCATCTCTATTACCTAAAAGATGGAATCTGGATTTATTTGTTGGTTCTATTTTTGGTTACACAAACTTAACGTGTACTTTTCCATGTTCTCCTCCCCCTGCTCTTTCTCTTCACTTTGTTAAAACGTATTGTTGTTTAATCCATTTATTTCCATTCTTTTCTCTCTCCATACATGTGTATACATAGCAAAAGACTGTTCATTTTCCTCTTTTTTACTTTGATTATATCCAATAGATTGAGATTCTGATAAGCAGTTTGTTCAGTAACTAGTAATTTTTAGAAATTCTTCAATTTTAGCATGGATACAAAAACTAACAAATAGTGGTTAAATATACAATTGGAAGGATCATATAATTTACTGGTTTTGTTACTGCTTACCAGCATTGTGATCACAAAATGCTGTTTGTAATACTTCCAATATTGCGGAAATAAAGGTTTTCTTTGCAAACGATTGTGTGATAAGTTTTTATTATTGGGGAATGAAGCTCAATAAAAATAACTAAAGGATCTGCCTACTGATTGTGTTGCTCACCTGTCTACCTGATCATTTGGATCTCCGAAGAGTTTAGTCTGTTATGGACTCTACCATTTTCACAGCATCTGTCTTTGCCCCATCCTAATTCTACCTAGATTCTATTTCATTAAATATGAAAGTTGCAAATCCTGCTTCCTCTTTATTTGTCTTGGCTTAGTGTATCTTTACCTAATTGTTAGCTTTAGTTTTTCTTGATTTTGGGTAAGACAGAGACTGCATGAACTGATCAACTGTTGCTTAATGCTTAATTTTTCTTTTAGGTTCTAGCAAGTTTATCCTTTATCGCCACTACCTTCTGCCAGTGCCACAGTAGCTCAACCTGGTCCTTCCATCCTTATCTTTCTTCTGTTCAGCACCTCAGCTTTAAGTGAAGTCTTTGACTCCAACCTTCACTAGCGCAGCAGCCGGCAAGCTTCCTCTATTTCTTTCTCTCCTCCTTTTCCTGTATTTCAGCAGGTTAAAACTTAGGGACATGAGTAATTCATATCCTCTCCCACCCCCACTCCCGCCTTTATTTTATCCTTCGGTTCGTTGAGCCGCCTTCTACATGCAGTGCAGTTCAACATCTTCCACAAGTTGTAGCGTCATTGTTTTAGGAAGTGGGGTGTGGGGCCGACTTCTGAATATCACTTCTTGTTTCAGACAGGCCAATTTTGTCTTTTTCTTCCTTCCTCATCTGCCTCAGAGAGACACCAACCCTTTATGTCCACATTTCCCAAATGGTCACTGGCGATACACTGTTTCCAGAAGTCGCTGCTCTGTTACGGAGCACTGTTCACCAGATCCATACAGAGGATCACGGCCCCATTCAGAACTTTCTCATCTGGGAGCACAGCCTCGATGGTGTCAGCATCCCTGGACACCTCCTTTCTTCTGTTCTATCCTGGCTCTGACCTTACTGTACAATTGTAGACATTTCCCCCACTACCAGGAAACTTAACTCTGTGGAAATTTCTGTCCCACATTTATGCAAGAGATGAGCTACAAGTGACCCTATCTAGTCTCATCATTGGTTGGTACAATGTTGGAAGGCTGTGAGGACAATAATAAATTTAGATGGCCACCACTGACCTCAGGAATCAAGAAACCTAAAGGAACCTTTTAAGCTCCTGTAACTGAAGGTCATTACATGTCTTCTTCTGGTGGAGCTGGTTACCCTTGTGCTCTTCCACCTACACACCCACCAGCACACTCACCAACAGGCTATTCTGGCTCTTTGATGTGCTTCCATACTATAGCAAATATGAGTTTTAGGAACTCATAAGCAATGTAAACCAGAAAGGAAAGATAAAAGGAAGGAAAGGAAGGAAAAGAGCAATATTCCAAATTCTTAATGGTGGTTATGTTAAAACCTTTATTGTACTAACTGCCTATTTGCAACATTTTTTCTCATATCCTAAATGGTCTTTCACAAGAATCTGCTTTTATCATAATAACTATTTTTGAAAGACACAGAAAGTCTCCTGCACTTCAAAATAGTTTCATGACCCTTTAGCTCCATGTCTCCATGAACATCTTATGTTGCCTGTAATCAGCACACTCACAAACAGCAGCTACAGAGCATTGTGTTGCCCTCCCTACAGAGCTGCTGGTGGCCTTGTTAGGCACCACAGAATTTGCACATTGACTGTCATGTGACAAAAGCTCCACAGAAGCTTCTCAAATGACACAACCCTTGCCAGGCCATGTGTGTGACCAACAGAAAAGTCTTCAAAATGTTTGCAATGATTAAAAACAAACTATAGTCATATATTATTAAAGTTCCTAATTACAAAGCACTTATGGTGTCATTTGTAAGCTGATAAAATAGTAATACTGAATTCTTCTGACCCCATCGGTTGGGGGCAAATGGGCTTCAAGACCCTTTAAAAAGTTTACCAAAACTCTCTAATAACAAAAGTATGTCGAATGAACATATACATGTACACAAAGAAATGGACAAATACAGACGTGAACAATTAAGTATGTATCCAGCCAATAATGAAAAGCTAGAAATGATGTGCACATCACGGTGCACCAACTATTATCCAAAGTCAAACCTGAATTAGCTAAATTATATCCTTGTACTGACTCAAATGTTAGGTGAGAAGGAGGCTGCAATAGTAAGTATACTCAGAAGTCAGAAAACCAAGAGACATGTGATGTGGGTATCTAACAGCATGACACATCCTCTACCTTCTCTTTCATAGTTCAGAACGTCTATGTGGATTTATTCTAGATTTGATTACTCTCTCAAAACAAGGGTCTACTGCCTTTAATTTACATATATAACGAGTATTTTTATACTGAACAAATTATTTCACTTACCCTGGTAAATGTTCCTTCAAAGCTATGAATATCCTGTTGTGGCTTTTGAGCATAAACATAAGCACTGATAGAAAAAAGGTCCTGCAATACAAAAAAAATTACATTAATTTCAATGTTAGCTAAATAAAATTACTTGGAAGTTCGTCAAGTAAAAGAACGAATTAAAAGAACTCAGGACCTTGAGCTTATGAGGCAAATGCTCTACCAGCTGAGCTGCATCCCTAGCACCTTTTGCTTTAGTTTTTATTTTTTGGGTAAGGTTTCTCACTTTTTGGCTGAGGCTGGCCTCTAACCACAATTTGCCCATCTCCACCTCCCCTGTAGCTGGAATTACAGGCAAGAAGTAATCCTTGATTGTCTTACATCCTGTGTGCAGGCATCATGAATGCACATGGAAGATACCCAAAGAAGCAGTGTGTGGTACTTTCTCTTCACTCTGCTTAGTGGCCAGAGTGTGTCAAAACAGCATGGGCTTGTGTACAGGATTCCCACTTTAAAAGTAGAGCCTGGGGTTACCTGGGTAACAAGGTATCTAGTGGAATTCTCAGCTCATGGTTCCTAAGTACCTGGGCCTGAATCTATACGGGTCCTGTCTTCCAGGACCACAAGCTGTGCCACACCAAGATTAGGGACAGAATCAAGAGACAGACCTCAGACCTGTACAGGTACAGACTTCGGACCCCTCTGAAAGGCAGAACCATGAAACCAGTCCTGAGGGTAGGGCTTCTTCTCTGAGGGGACACCCGTCTGAAATCCAACTGTCTGTTCTCAGTCAACCCTCCTGAGGTGGAGGCTGCCTGCACTCAGAACCTGTGACCTCACCTAGAGTTACAAATCAGGGAGGCACATCACAAGGAAAATAAGCCTCCTCAGCAGAGCAGACAGGACCCTCACCAGCCCCCTCCCTAACCCATCCGCAGAGCACCTCACTACTGTAGCTTGAATTTGGCATTCAAATAGCTGCAGCCTGCAGACTGCAGCAGTGGACCACTTCCCCTGCTTTTGCCAGGTACATAGTTTGGCAAGGCAATTTGAGTGCTGAGTGCTGCTGCCCAGAAAGCAAAGTGATCTTTTCTGGGCCACTCCCAAGACAAATGATTAGGATGAAAGGGGTGGGAATTATGCAGCGCCATTTGGGAAATGTTTGAAAATTCAGAAAATCCTCTTGACCTCTGATTCTTAAACATAATGTCTCTTTCTGGTTAGGGTTGATATAAAAAATGGTTTCCTTTAAAAGAATGTTTTTGTCCCTCTTGCATACAATTCCAGGTGAAAGAAGTGAGGAAGAGTAGGGAGTACAAAATGTTAGGACTGCTAAATGGAGCCCCATGATTTTATAACAGCAAAACTCAAACACCTGGTGAGTGCAGGTCACGGGATGGTGTGGGGAGGGGCAACATCACTCTGCTCTCAGGACCGTCTGGAGATTCTCCCTGATGCTAGAGAGCCTGTTGCTCCTAACAATACAGGATGTGTAAGACCAGCTCTGTGGTGGACGGGCATTGTTTCAACTGGCTAAAGGACACACCAGTTTCACGAGAAACTGGAACCCAGCCCTCCCTAGGGTGCTGGGGCAGGGGTTCAGCACTATGAAGACTGTGGGATGCTGTTAAATGCTGTTGAGGATGTTAGTTTTGCATTGAGCTTTCTTCATGTCTTTACTGTAAGCATCCTATGAGGTATTTTTTCTGAGTGAGCAAAGCCCAGGGCATGACCACTGGGGTCTGTGACTGGCAGTGGGTAGACATTCCCATAAACCTGGCAGCCTGGAAAGGGAAACTGCAGAAATGTCCACTGACAAGCCTCGTCTCTGGGAACCCACATGTGAAAGATGACAGAGCTGTCCAGAAACCTGCGTCAATCACCTCTGGGTACTGGAGAGAGGAAGAAAACTGCTGACCGGTGCATGGGTTAAGTTTCAGTGCAGAAATCAGAAGCACTCAGGGCCGGATACAACACGAGGCTTCCGATGTCAGAGGAAGGGGTGATGTTCATGACTACATCTCCAAAAATACTACTCAAACAATCCTCTGTGAAAGATGTCATTGCCAGGACCAAGTTGGAGAGCATGAGGAAACTGTAGCTCCAGGGTGTATGGACCACTGCTCTCATGCGTACTTTCACATTAGCCCTGAATCCAAGCCACAGAACAAGGGCTCAAGCAAGTACTAACCACAACTGATGCTCCAGTTACTTAAGTCAAGCTAGCTTAGGCCAAAAGAGAAATACATTGTATGATAAATTGAGACTTGTGAAAAACACTACCAGAGTGTTTAGTAAGCACCCAAAAGAGTGTGTAGATAAAGCAAGTCTGAGATAAAGGCTCCCTCTTTTAAATACTACACTGACCCAGTGATTTTCAAAACATGAAACTTTTATACCGCAGACCACCTTTCAATGCAGGAAAATAAAGAGCAAGCTAGCAACAATTCTCATTTCGACATGCACAGGAACATTTAGAAGAGTGCATTTCATCTAATATATTAGACATCAAATGACTGAATAACGACACAATAATGAGAAAGTCATTTGAAGCTTTTCATGATAATTTAAAAATCATTCTGAAGTTTTCAATAATGTAGGAAAGCCTCTACTATTAGGTCAAGGGCAACATTTGTTCACATTACTTAAAGGTCATTAAAATACATCCTTAATCATAACATGTGGTTCATTACAAATAAAATTGCCTTTCGTTCAATAAAACTAATTAAATGTAAATGGTATTGTTTACTGCTATATGGATCTTTTGAAATAAATCAGCAAGTCATGATTTATTGAAAATTACTGGGGACTCGTGGTTGTTAATAAATTTGCTTGATCACAAAAGCCAGAAACATATTTCCCAAAGGTCTCCTGTGCCTGAAAATGGCACCCTCTCCATGACTTCAGCACCAGAACCTGTATCTGGTATTGTAGCACAGCCATCAACACAGGACCCCAGGAAACTCCAATTTTCAGACCACACTAAGTGCCCTGGGAACTCAGGGGAACCAGCAGACCTTACTCCCAGTTATATCTTCAGTTCTTCAGAAAAAGCTCTAGCATATGCAGTTTTACCTCCTCTGTGTCACCATGCTGTGATCTGAGGAGACATGACTAGCAATATGACACAAAATAGCCCCAAACCCATCAATCAGAGACACAGGAGTCGAAACAAGTCAGAAGTATGGCCAGAGTAGCTATGGAATGGTGAACTAAGTTGCCTTCCCTGTGTCCACAATAAAATTAAAGCTTTCTTTTCAATGAAAACAAAAAGACTTCTACATAATATGCTCAATTTTACAAAACTACAGATTAAAATTGATTAATGCATCAGAAATTCAGTTAAACTTTCTTTTTACGTAGGAAATATAGTCTTTATGGTCTTTTGGGCATATCAAAAATCAAAATGTTTCATTAATCATACAATTATTTCACTCAAATACTTAATTACACTTCCTGTCAAAGTATACGGTCATAAAAATTTTAAAGAAGCATTATATGAAATGCATATTATAACTGTAAATATTCTGAAGCATATTGACATATGTGTATGCATGCCACTAGCAAAAAGGAAGAAAGCATTCTTCCAATACTGGATCTAATTTGAAAAGATCACTCAGCTATAAACAATAGTTGGCATGCACACTTTATATAAAATAAGCTGCATGTTTTATGTAAAATTTCACATTCTAATTATGTGTACACCTATGACCATTTCCACAATCAAGATATGGAACACTCCCAAAAGTACCCTGACCACCTTGCAGGATGGGTCCTGAGCCTCATCAACTACTGGTCTTTTCTTTCAGAGTTTTCTATTAATGCAAACAGTGCATTCTCTTGTTTGTTTGGCTATGGTTGACCTTTCTTTCAAATTCTTTCTGATAGTGTTTTAATTCTGTACTTTCTTTTCTACTATTCTTAGCAAAAATCAAATCTATCACAAAATTATCATTTCGTGTGGCCATTCCCCAGATGCCTATTGCCAGGGCACCCCATGATCCATGGAAGGATTTTCAATGGGAAGACATAGAGGGTGAGGCTGCCACCCTGCTATGATAGCGGGAGGAAGGTAGAATCCTGTTCATAGGATTCATAGCCTCTCTTCCCTCAAATCCTGGAGAGAGTCCCAGAGAATGCACACCAGAAAAAGAAATGAACGACACAACTAGCCCAGTAGTCACAGGCAGGTTATATTAGAGAAAGGCTATAAGCTGTCCCACTGATAAAAATTAATTCATTTTTAACAATGTGAGAGTAATTGCTAGATGTCTTAGAAATCCAATGTAATTTTGAAAAATGAAAAAAGAAAAGCAAGTAGAAAACACAGAAAGAAGGGTAAGAGTGGAAAGAGCTAAGAGAGGGAGGGATGGACAAAGGAACGTAGGCTGCACTGAGGTGTGACTGTGCTTGGGTGAGAGTGGACAGAAAGAAAGAAGCTGCCTGAGCTTCTTCGTAAGGCACTCATGTATCCACGCAGACTTAGGGCACTTCCTGTTCGGGGGACTCTGTGCACCCATGGAACTGCAGGGAGAATTTCAAAACCTGCAATATTATCAACGCTGATGACAGCCTCTCACTTTTCAGATACTTGAAGTGGTTAAAATGATAAATAATGGCTGGTGGGAGAATGGCCCTAGCCTTAGGGCACAACAAGAAACATACAAACATGCAAGAAAGCATGCCAATGTGGACACAAATGAAATTTAACACACTTATTTGGCAAAGGATATTCTAAAGCTGGCAGTTAAGAAACAGACGGGGGCCTGGGGCCAGTGGCTCATGCCTCTAATCCTAGCTACTTGGGAGGCAGAGATCAGGAGGATCCAGGTTCAAGCCAGCCCCGGCAAAGAGCAATATCCTGTCTCAAAAATACCCACCACAAAAAAAAGGGTTGGCGGAGTGGCTCAAGTGGTAGAGCGCCTGCCTAGCAAGTGTGAGGCCCTGAGTTCAAACTCCAGTACCACCAAAACAAAGAAAAGAAAGAAACAGACTAGGAAAACATATTGGCAACATGCACTGGACCAAGGCATGTAGAACATGCAGAACAATCACACCCGCACGGTGAAAGGCCAAAACTGTGTGACAACTTGAGAGCA